CTGGCCCTTGCGCTGTGCTGCGGCTGCAGCGGCGTGGCCGGCCAGTCCCGCGGGTGGCAGAGACCGAAGAAACTCTGGAGAACGAGACAGCAGAAAGAAGTTTATGGTGTGCATAACCCTTTTAATAGGTCTCTCTTTCTTCGTACCAATTACTCACTGACACTCACGAGGAATGCATTGTTCTGGGCGGGGGAATGGCTTGAGGACACGAAGTTTTTTTTTAAAGAGGCCGAAGAAGCGGCTACAGCGGCATTGGTGACGGCAAACCGCATTACCAACAGGGATGCAAAGAATCGTGGCTTGGCAGAAGTGAGGGTTGCCGAGCAAGCCGTTCGTGACGTGCGGAGGTATCTCAGCGAAATTGAGAGTGTGATAGAACAGATGAGGGATGCGGAGACGGATGCAATGGAAGTCGTTGCGAAAGCGGCAACCCCTCTCGGTGTTGAGTATCACGTGGAGGAGGCCAGAGGCCATGCTAAAAGGGCTGAAGAGTTTTGTGAGGGAGTTGAGATAAGGATGAATAATGCGAATACCTCAGCACGGGCTGCTAAGGATGCGTGGAGGAGGGTGGAAGCGGAGCTGAATCCAGTTCCACAGAAAGAGACACACTCTGCCCCGGTCCCCGGAAAAGACATTCGACCAAAACAACAACAACCTCGTGCTCCACGTTCAAAACAGCCGGTCGCCCCATCCTTTCCCAGTGTTGACACCAGCAAGACCTTCACTGGCCCCGTGGATGCCCCTGTGAGGGAGTCTGTGGAAGGAGGCGCGCCCACTGCCACTGAGAGCAACCGCGAAGGCAGTGCTACCCCAATTGCAGACAACCGCGCCGTCTCACCCTCCGCCGATGGTGCCAGCACTGACGCACAGCAACCGACCGCAGTGGAAACGCCGACAGCTGCAGCGGCAGGTGGACGCCAAGGCCCCTCCGAGAGCACCGCGAGCACTGGCGCTGCTAAGGATGAGGCCAAGGAGAATGCACCAGGAAAGCTCGACAGCAACGACGCCGCCTCTATGCCATCGCCTGATGGTTTGGATGCCTCGCAGCAAGACAGCCACAAGACGGCGGATCATGACGGCAGCAGCCGCTCTATGTGGATGCGTGCGCCGCCGCTGCTGATGGTGCTGGCAGCACTTGCCTGCGTCATTGTGTGCTGAGCGGTGTGTGGTTGGGGTGAGTACGCTGCTTCCTTCTCTGTAATTTTTTGCGTATATCCCATCGTCTCTAATGCATTGCTTTGTTTCATTTCCACCCTCTCCTGGGAAGTGCCGCCAAGGCATTGTGCTCTAACTGCTCCCCCTGTTTCATTGTTTCTCCGTGCTGCGCTGTGGCGGTGTGTGCGGTGAGGGCCGCTTCTTCGTTGGCCCCACCTGCGACGGTGCGCGCTAAATATACAGTACAGCATGCATGGGCATGCGCGCATATACGAATTTGGATTAGCACGGACAAAAATAAATATAAACATATACACGCTTCTGTGACTGAGCCATGTGCGCCGCTATACGTCTCCTTTGCTTTGGGGTTTTTTTGTTTTTTTCTGCGAGGTGTGGTGTGTCCTCGCGATACTGCGGCGAGTGCCCGCGGTGCCCCGCAGGTAATGCGTAAATAATTGATTCCACGTGAAGCGCCTCGCAGCTTTCTGTGGGTGTGTGCTGCAGTGAAGTCTCTCTGTGTGCAGCCTTCTGTGTCTCTCTTTTTCCATTATGCAGTTCAGCTGTTTCCGAGTCGAATTGATGATGATGATAATGAGTCGCCACGTGCTGCTGTGCGTGCTGGCCCTTGCGCTGTGCTGCGGCTGCAGCGGCGTGGTGGTGGCCTCCGCGGGGGTTTCGCTCAGTCGGGATGATGCGCTGGAGAAAAAGGCTGAGGATGCATTGGAGAAAGCGCGAGTGTCGTATCGGTCTGCATTGGAGCAAGTGGGGAAAGCCGATGCGGCGGTGAAGAAGGCTTTGGCGGCTGAGGTCGAGGCGAGCCTGGCGGCACTGACCGCGGAGGCCGAGGGGCGTCAAAGGCGTGTTTCAGTCGGGACGGAGCAACGCGTTATCAGTGCGGTGAAAAACGCCAAGGCTGCCGCGGCGGAAGCAGAGTTGTCTCGACAAAGTGCTGAGGTTTTTTCCGAGATTGCCCATAGAAAGTTGGATATCATCACTGGTTCGATCGATGGGGCCAATCGTTCGCTACGACTAAGCAAAAAAACCCTTGTAGGCCTTGCGGGGGCTGTGGAGAAGGCTAAAGAGGCGGAGGCGACCGCAAGGGCGGTCCTGGATGATATTAAACAGGACAGGGTACGTGCCGAGACGGCGGCGGAGGGTGTCATACAGGCGGCGGCGAAGACATTGCGGGAGCTGGAGGAGGTGAGGCTTGCCGCGCGAGCTGTGTCCGATGCGCCCAGCGGCGGTGCGCCCACTGCCACTGAGAGCAACCGCGAAGGCAGTGCTACCCCAATTGCAGACAACCGCGCCGTCTCACCCTCCGTCGATGGTGCCAGCACTGACGCACAGCAACCGACCGCAGTGGAAACGCCGACAGCTGCAGCGGCAGG